ATACATTGTGCCATCCAACATTTTGTATGTTTTTGTAAACAGTTCACAAGCAGTACATTTCTGTGCTGTTTTCTTGAACATATACATGCCTTGTTTTACTTAGATATTATTAATCATTATCACAAGTAAATCTGATTAAACAGTTAGCCTGGATTAATCAGTATTGTTGGACAGCTCTGAAAGAAGCCTGACTGTTAAACAGCTATTGAATGTAATACTATGGATAAGTAGTTTTCCTTGCCTATGTCTTTTCTACATTTCTGTGGTTTTGATGCCACATGTCATGTTATGAAATTTAAACAGTGAATCTCTCACCATACTATATATCCTATAGATGATATATATAAGCCAGAGAAAAGATAACTTGCTCCATATTTCACTGTCATTGTTACCCCTCCCCTCTCTTCTAGTCTCTCCTATCTAATCTCTGGACTCAGGAATTATTTCTAAATACTTTCTGATAGAGGACATTTCTATATGGTTTATTCTTATAATCCATTGTTAATATTTTATCTGTATTCTATGACTTTTGTTTAAGCTGCAAAGGAATTGTTCAGTGAATGAATGTTGGCATTAAAGAAGAAAGGCAACATTTGGAGATAAAGCAAAATAGCAGCCTGCAAAGAGTAGGTTTTAATGCGTTCATTGCAGTTGCAAAACTGATGGATCTAATGTTCTGTCAGTTACTTTCTGCTAATTTTAATTGATTTCAAAAGGAAAATGAGAGGCAAGTCACAAGGATCTGTTTGGTTTGAAAAGGGTCATTCTAATTTACCATGAAAATAGTGTCATCCCAGTCAGGTAAGATGAAGCTATTCAGAGGGAACATCCTCACTTTTCCACAGATGGAAGTGAGTTGGTAATGAGGGTGGAAGACTCACTTTAAATACTGATATAAACTTTTAATACTCTTGGTGTCTAAAGTAATTAAAGGCCCATCTTGACGGCTGGTCTTGAAAAGGTGAAAATGCCAAATGAGAAGGGGCACTGTAATGTGTTTGAATACAGTGAGTGTTCCATTCCACCAAAATTACAGGCTATGTAAAGTCCTTCCAGACGTGAAAATGACTATTGGGAATTCCAGCTTTAATAAAATATGGATTTGGGTGAATGGCTATTTGTGAAAAATGCAATTTTTTGTTTTGCATAAGAAGGTATTTTCTTGGCTTAGTGGCATTAAATTTCTTTTGTGGTGATTAATTGGCTTATTTCCCTGAAATCATCAGCGGTTCGTTGAAAGGAAGAATCATCTTTATGACACCACAGATTTGTTCTGTATTGGAGTGTTTCTTCTGCCAGAATTTCTGAGTTCCTTGGGGAAGGTTTTATTGCTAGATTTGCAAAGGGTCTCACTTTTATTGCCCTTAAAAATTTGCTAAATATTTAATCCATTATATAATTGTGAAGAAATTGGTTTTATAAACAGGGATTCTTAAATTAGCCTGGCTTCCAGAAATTTGAAAACACAGCTCTTCCCAAACGAACAGTATTTTTCCCTTGGTGCTCTAGCATTGAAATTCTCTTTAGCTGTACAGATGTATCTGCCCTTGCTTCAAGAAACATTTTTAAGTAAAGGCAGAAAAAGGCTATCTTAAATTTTTTTTTACAGTGTCAGCAGTTCCAGAGGAATTTAGTAAAACCTTACATCTCAAAAAAAAAAAGTATTTTTTAGCTCACTGGGCAATTTTAAGTCAGGCTTCTCAAAATCTACAAACTATAGCTTCTGGTGGCTTTTAAGGTGTTAATTAGAAGATTGTCATATCTAGTCAACCAAATTATTTAAATGCTGTTGAAATAAAAGGATGGCAGTACTTGTCAGTGTGTCAGTAATAACATTTCACTTCAGGAAGGAGTTCCTACTATGTTCATTGTATGTATATAGGTACCTGGCAAAGAACAGACCAAAAAGAGGAAGTGTTAAGCTGCCTCACTATTGGCAATATCCACATTAAAATAATATAAAAATACTCTCATTAGTTTTATTGCAGCTGTGTTTTGTGGTCCTCAAGCTCACTGATCATTAGCCAGATAGTGAAGCAAAGTTAACTCCTGCATTCTACATATCTACACGCTCAAGTGAGCCATTAATTTAGTCTTGACTTTACAAATGTTGCTATTAAATTATGTATATATATCAGCAGAGTATGGACATTTTAAATTGTAGCAAAACATGAAAATTTAGCACACCCTAAGCTGAATGTGTTGAAGTCTAGATCCACTATATTTTTAAGTGACTTTCTAAACCAAGGTATAAAAGGCCTGCCTAATCAGGGAGGTGTATTTTACAGGCCAGGTGTGGTTTATGTACCTTACTTCCTGGTTTGTATCCATGTTCATGACTCACTTTTTTTTTATGTTTTTATCACTGCAGTTTTTTATAATCTATAAAGAAATCCACATAATGCTTCTCTGAGTGTCAGCACCTTTCTGTTAGAATGTGAGTTTGTGACACACTGTGTTCATCATTGCTGGACTGCTGCTTGGTCTGCAAAGCATAACAAGTGACTCAGAGTCATAAAGGATAAAAAAAAGAAAATGAAGATACAGGTGAACTTTGTGTTGACCGTGGTTTGTTTTTAATTTTTTTTAGTGTGAAATTACCATTTACTGTGCTTAAGAGCATGAGGGAACGGAGGGAAGAGTGTAGTTGCAATACCCGTTAAATGCCATCTGTGTCCAGTAAGGGCAAAGTTCTGTGTTCATAATCACTATAACATTGAATGAAACTTAAAAGGAGTTTTTCAAGAAAATATTTAAAACTTTTTTTTGGAAGAGACAAGGCCATAAGAAAATAGATTTACATGTCTGGGGTTTTTTTGTGTGTGTGTGTGTTTTCCTTTTGTAAATGTGGTGTTACCAACTAAAGCTATGCTTTTCTATTATTGGAAGGAAAGGATTCAAAGTGTGCTGGCCCTTACTAAGCAGCAGTGGTTACTAGATGCATTTTCACTTATGAAAATGATGTAAATGATTAGCTTTATCTTGATACTCTTGACCTAATCAAAGGGAAGGTGTACTTATGAGGGATGTAATTATTTTGCAACCTAGTTGGGGGGGAAGTCTACTTAAACAATTTTTAAAAAATTACAAAATCACAGATAAAATATTTTTCTACGATTCTATACAATCATACTTTATACTAGTTTTCTCAGCATGGCATGTAAGTGAGTCTAGGGTACTGTTCCAGGAAATCAGTGGTATTGTACCTTGTTCTAGACCATTACAATAGCATCTGTTAGATGCTTGGCACTGCTGTCATAGAACTGAAATGCTAGTTTAAAAAATAATTAATTGTACTGAATACTTTAAATGATTGTTTTATTCAGAGTCTGATCTAAGAGATGTTCCAATCATGCTATTAATGTGTAATTAAAACTGTTCCAGATGTAACTATGAACAGTTTTGGAAAGTTATCATTGCTTGTTTTCCTGTCTAATGGCAGGTTTTGTAGTCTTCAAAAGAAATTGAAATTTCTACTATGAATAAACTTTCAAACGTCTTAAAGGGTTGTTTTGTGTAATCATTTGTTCTAACCAGTTATAAGTCATTGCTTGTTCATCACTAACTCTGAACTACCTTCACAACACACTGCATGTGCTTTGCCAGCCAGAAAGGGTTTGTAAAGAGCAAGTGTCCCAACACTGCAGCATGCTGAGGAAGGTAAACATGGAGATAGAGGAAAAACTCGTGTTCAGCTGGTGCTTACAAACCTGAATAACATACGAGAAGGCTGCAGTGCAAGGATATTGTATTTTAATACCCTGTCACATTCCAGTCGACTCTGAAGTACCACTTAATGGGAGGCTGCTGAATGACATTTGCAATACCTGCGTTGCTCTGAAAACTGAAAATATGGGCATGTTGGATAATTAATGCACTTTGTAAACATTTGAAACATGATAGTATATGCAGAAGTACTCCATAAGCAATAGGCCCATGTTTTAGCAACTAATACAATTTGGAAACTAACAGCTGTGATTCTTTTTAACCTTGTAACCTGGAAAAGATGGAAGATTTTCAAAGGTTGCATAGTCTACAAAAAATGGCTGTAATTGTGATGGATGATTTGTGAGGAATGTCACCAGCGGTTTTGCAAAGTGTACCAAAAGCAAGACATCAGACAACATGGAGAGGTTTGGTAATGGATACAGGGCAAGGGTACTGTGATTTCCTCAGTGAAATTCACGCATGGGATCACAGGTGTGCATAGCTGTGGCCCTTTGTTCACATAAGGATTTATCGTGCCTGTCTAAAAACATTTTTAAATTTGTTTACAAATAAACTGGATAATTTGTAAGCCTCCAGAAATTCTGCAAAGGCAGAAACGGGGGCTGGTGTACCACAGCTTCTGCTGTCAGCCTTCCTCACCTTTGTACCCTCTGATTTACAGAATCATAGAATAGTTTGGGTTGCAATGGAGCTTGAAAATAATCTAGTTCCAATCCCCCAGCCGTGGGCAGGGACGCCTCCCACGAGAGCAGGTTGTTGGGAGCCTCACGCAGCCTTGCTTTGAACACCTCCGGAGCTGGGGCAGCCTGTGCCAGTACCTCACCACCCGCACAGTGAAGAATTTCTTCCTAATGTCTCATCTAAACCTACTCTCTTTCCATTTGATCCCGTTCCTCCTTGTTCCGTCACTACGCGCTCCTATAAAAAGTCTCGTCCCGTCTTTCCTGGCAGGTACTGGAAGGAGTTCTCACTAACACCGCTCCCCCGAGCGCTGTGCGGTGTCCCGGGGCTGGCTGGCTGCGCACTGCCCGCTTCTGCTCCTCCTTTTCCGCGAACTCCACGCAAAGCGCCTCGCCGGGCCAGGCGGGGCCGTTCCCGTTCCCCCTCCCGAGGCCGAGCCAGGCGGGCTCGTTCCCGTTCCCGAGGCCGGGGCCGTTCCCGCGCCGCTGCAGTCCTCCGGGCCGCGCGGAGGCGCTGTGGCCGGGTCGGCGCAGCGGCCGGAGCGCAGCGCACGAGCCCGCGCAGCCCCGGCCCCGCCGCTGGTCCCGCCCGGAGCCGCCGCCGAGCCCGAACCGCCGCCCCCGCCCGGAGCCCCTCCCGCCGCCCCTCCCGCAGCCCCTCCGCGGCGGAGCGTTCGGCGCCATGCCCAAGAATAAAGGTGAGTCTCCATTCCCTTCCCCGGGCCCGCGGCGGCGCGGCCGGACCCGGGTGCGGTCACGCAGGGCAGGCCCGGGGCCCCTCACGTGGGCGCCGCCGGAGCCCGGAGCCCGCGGGCGGAGGGGCCCTCCCGGCACCCCGGCGGCTCCCCGGGCCTTTTCCGCCTGTCGGGCGCGCAGCGGAGGCCGCTGAGGCCCGACCGGCAGCGGGAGGCCCTGCCCGCGGCTCGCTTGTCAGGAGCGGCCCTGCCGAGGAGGCGGCCGGGCCCCTCCGTGCCCTCGATGGGCAGTGCTGCTGCCGCTTCCCTTCTTTCTTACCCCGGAAAGGAAACGCAGAAACCGTGAGGGAAAGGAGCAGCAGATTTTAACAGCGGGGCAAGTATGAGCTGCTCTTATGCTCTTCGTGAAGAGCATCTAATCTTGTTGCCACGTGTGTGCCTTTTTAAAAGGGCAGCTTCACTTGTAGTGTAAGCTTCCTCTTGAGTATTTCAGGGATTTCAGCACCACGGTAACTGAAGTTATTCATCTGCTATTGATGATTACGTGCATCAGACTATCCCACCGTTATTTCTGAGGTGTTTGGTAGCAGGGATCACAGAAACTGAAAATGGCCATTTTGTGAAAACCACTCCAGAGCAACCAGGACATCTTAAACAGTGGAGATTCTAATGTATAATTATTTTGTTACTACTCGGCTAAAAATTTAGACTTAAAAGTAAGCAAAAAAACTAGATCTGGGGAGGATACTTAAAATAGCCATATAGAGTACAAGCATAAAAATCTCCATAAATCTGATTTTTTTCACTCAATGTATCTAGAGACAGTAACACACGCTTTTTATTTCTCCCACTTTTAATTTAGGCAAAGGAGGTAAAAACAGGCGACGAGGTAAGAACGAGAATGAATCAGAAAAAAGAGAACTGGTGTTCAAAGAAGATGGGCAAGGTGAGTTTTTAACTATAGTATGGCAATGTCATTGTTTTCAGTCACGTACGCTAAGTGACAGAATAGAGAGAGGTATTCTTATTGGAGTTGTGTTTGAATTCCAAATGACGCATTGAGTGTAAGAGAAAGACAGTAGGAGAAGGGAAATTTTTCGTAGCTTCACCACTTAAGAATGAAGTTTCCCCTGTTCTTGACCTTAGTGTAAAACAGCACTTGAACATTCTCTAGAAACCTCTTGATAGCTTTGTGTGAGAGTCTGTGAGCAGATGTGGTTCAGTTTTGCCAGTAATTGTCCCTGAGATTCACCGTCCCACTTTGTGTTTTATATGGACTCGAGCATCTCTTGGATCCTTCACTGAGCTCCCCAAAGTCACTGATGTGGCAGAGCAGCTCATCTCACTGTTCTGTCCCCTGATGGTTTGGTTCAGTTGGCTCCTGGGCTGGAAATCTAACCAGAGCAGTAGGTGGGATGCTGTCAGGTGAAATAAGGCACAAGAGAGTTCAGCCAGGAGATGACTGGAATTCCCATCTGCCCTGCCTTTGGTGACACCTCCCTTTCAGCTCACCCTGTCCTGTGTGTCACACTCTGGTGATTGCTCACATAATATGAGTGCTTTCCTAATAACCAAGGAATCAGTTGGTTTGTTAGAAATATGAGAAAGGTACTGATTCAAATCACTGTAGAATAAGTGCCACTGAACAAATTTCTGGTATTTTGTTTTGGTTGTAAGCAGAAGATGAGTTTATTTTTATGTACGTCTGAAACTTAAGATCCTTTACATCTCCCAAGCAAAATCTATTTAATGAAACATTATTCTCAGTTATGAAAAGTCTTGTGGTTAAGTGGACTATCTAACTTGTGTGAAGTTTTCCAGTATGTGATTTTTGCAGCTTGGTGAGGGAGAAGACAAAATACAAGGTGAAGAGATTGAGGGGGTAGGTGTTGGAGAAGTGCTTCTCAGCTGAAGTCTGCTGGTTGTCTTCCAGACAGTGTCTGATAACACCAGGTTATGTCCTTTCAAGGACAGTGGGGTGTTGTCCACAGAGCCTCTGCAAGAGGGATTCAGAGTCTTAGTGAGTGGTTATACAGGGCATGCAGCTTTCTCCTGCCTCAGTGACAGCACTGAGATGTTGTCCTTTAGGACAGGTGCTGCGATGTTGTCATAAACTTTCAGACTCTGAGAGTGACTCAATAGCTTTGAGATTTTCTGTAGTAAGCATTTCAGAGGAAGCAAAAGGGTGGATGCAGCCAAGAAGGAGCAGTATTTGAAAATGTTAACATCAACAGCAGTACAAAACTGTGATACATTCAGCAGCCTCTCTGGGTGCTTGAAGCTCCTCTCAGCAGTTCATGTTTGATAAAATGTTACAGCACATTTGGGTTACGGTGGAAGAGTTACTGGATGTCTTTTGAAGTTGGGTTTGTTCAGAAGTTTAGCTCTGTGTGCTTTGTGACATGGCTTAGCGTTGGACTTACCGTGCTGGGTTAATGGTTGTACTTGTTGATCCTAAAGATCTATTCCAGCCCACATAATTCTGTGTTTCTGTGTTACCATCTCTTTCAGAATATGCCCAGGTGATCAAGATGTTAGGCAATGGAAGACTGGAGGCATTATGTTTTGATGGTGTGAAGAGGTTATGTCATATTAGAGGGAAGCTAAGGAAAAAGGTAATGCTGAAGCATTGCAATAGGAAAGGATGTCGTTACGCATGATATGTAATTGTAAAAATTTACGTATGTAGCTTGTTACAAAAATGAATATTTCTACTTCACTTAATACCTTAAACTACTTTTTTGATAGTAAACTAGTCTGTCCTTCTGTTTCCATTGCTGGCACAAGAATAGGCTGTCTTTGGCTCTTGGGTGAAACTCACAGTTGAAGGGCAGCCTTTCAATGTGTATATTTCAGGGGAAGGTTTTTTGACTGCTTATGACATACAAGCCTTTCATATTCTAGACAATTACACGTATATAAAATAATAAAATTCTCCCTAATTGCAGATGGGGAACTTGGTAACTATTTAGAAAATACACCTCCAATGCCATTGTTTAATTGTCCACTTCATCAGTTCCCAAAATATTTCTGTTGAAAGCTAATCTGCAAAGATTTGTACCTTCAGGGATGTCAGGTGTGAGTGTTTGCATTCTTAACTTTGCCACCTTCAGATGGTGTCCCCTCTGGCCCTTGTCAGGTGTTAGATCTTGCTGTTCTCTGCTGGTGGATGGTAAGGAGGAGGTCCCTCAGTCTGTTTCCAATGAAAACAGACATTCACTGGCTTCATTCTGGATTGTTCAAATTTTTGTACAGCAGCGAATGCACGTGTCTTGGGATCAGTGAAACCAGTGCTATAGCTGCCTGCAAGAAACTGTTGAAGGTAGTGGAGAATGTGCATAAATAAACACTAAGTGCTGCAGAATTGACTTCTTGCTACAAAAAGCACCACTTATCTATTCTTTATGTTTAAAAGAAGGGAAATTCCAACTGAAATGAATTCATTCTCCAAAAAAATCAAGTGGATGTGGCATAGAACCCACATAGAATGACCCTCTGCATTTAAAGGCATCTTCTGTTCTGCAGATTTGTGGTTAACATAGTTTCTAGAAACAACTCCATTCATTTTCTTGTGCTCTTCACTGTTCTTGTCCATCACCTCCTTCATCAGGTTTTTCTTTAATTTTTGCTCTTGAGGAGCCCAGTTCACGACTAGTGCCTTGATGCTTCCTTTCTGTTTTCTCACATGTTAAGGCTTTATAACCACCCTGTTGGCTAGAAGCTCTTCAAAGAAGTTTGATTACCCTGTAATAGCTCCATAACATATAAAAATAATGTAACTATGAGTCTTTATGAACTTGGATTTGCTGTTAAAACATTAAATTGGATATTTCTGGCATACTGGTTAGGAAATGAAGGTGGGGGCTGTAGTGAAATGTTTTATGTCTCTCCGTAAATCTAAATGTGCTATTTGGTTTTTGTGTTATACAACAGAAGTTGAATTTCTGTAACACGTATTTTCTCCTTCAGGTCTGGATAAACACATCTGATATTATATTGATTGGCTTAAGAGACTACCAGGTAAAAATTCAGTATAATATGCCACTATAAGGAGTATCTTACAAATAGCTTTATTTACTTAAATTACAACAGGTATTGTGAGGAAATTCCTGTCTAACTTTGTGTTTGTATTTAGTTATGCTAAATCATGATTTTTGGTTTCCTTGTAGTACAGGAAGATTGTAATGAGTAGACAAGTTCTGGTTCGACTTGTTCTTCTAAATTGCACCCTGAGACTTTGTGAGTGAAGGTGCTTATTGTCATCAAACTTGCCCTTATTTTTCAGATGCAGCTGTTTGGTGCTTGCATCCTGTAGTAAAAAGGGAGATTGAGTCAAGTACCAAATATTTTATTGTGATAATTAGAATTTTTGGTAATCAGAATTTTGGATCCTCGATGTTCAGGCTTTTACCTTAAGAGGCAAATTAATCAGTAATTAGTTTGCACTTAAATTTTCCAAAATGAGTGGCATAGCTTTACGTAATATAAACAGTAATGGGAAACAGTTGTCAAGTTTTCATTAGGTGAATGCCTTTCATGAATGTTAGTGTTGTCATCAGTTGTTGAAGGTAGATTCTGCCTGTGAAATTAGGTGAATTAGGTTTATAAAACTTGTAAGAGACTGTCAGTTACTGTATATATTAAAGTACTTAAAACTAGGAATTTTTTGGTTTTGACTTTGCCAAGGTAAATATAGGTTGGATGTTAAGAAAAAGGTTTTTACAGAAGGAATGATAAAGTACTGTACTTGTCTGCCTGGGATGCCAGTGGAGTCACCATCCCTGGATATGTTTAAAAAAAGACTGGATGTGGCACTCGGTGCTGTGGTCTAGTTGAGGTGTTAGGGCGTGGGTTGGACTTGATGATCTTAAAGGTCTCTTCCAACCCAGTGATTCTGTGATTCCTGATTGACCATGAAACACTTCACTGTGTGTATTGTCTGAAGATAGGTTAATTTCAAAGGCATGAAACTTAACTTGTGAAGTTGTTTAATTCTCAACATTGCTTATTTGTCTCAAATTCTCTTGTCTTGTTGCCCAGGGAAGTTGTGGATACTCAATCCCTGGCAGTGTTCAACGCCAGATTGAGCTCTCTGATCTAGTGGAAGGTGTTCCTGCCTATGGCAGGGGGTTGAAAGTAGATGATCTTTAAAGTCCCTTCCAATCCAAACCATTCTATGAATCTATAAATTACTTTTAATTTGAGATAATGAAGTTTTCACTCAGCAGAAATGAAAATATTCCAATGTGTTTACTTCACATTTAAAGAACTGGAGGGGAAGGAAGAACAGGATGTTCTATAAATATTATAGGTGTTAATCCACTTCAAATAGTATAGTTGTAAATAATGGAGTCTGCTGAGGTTCATAGTTTTGGTTTTCCTTCATAGGTGATTAATGCATTCTAATAAATTCTTATTTAGGATAACAAGGCTGATGTTATTCTAAAATACAATGCAGATGAAGCCAGAAGCCTGAAAGCATATGGAGAGCTTCCAGAACATGGTAAGAATCTTTTCACTTCAAATTGCAAGTTCATGTTGGACTAGAATACTCAGTCTGTCTTGGCACAGTGTAAGTGCACTCCTTAACTTCTCTGAATTTCTTCATAGCTAAAATCAATGAAACAGACACATTTGGTCCTGGAGATGATGATGAAATCCAGTTTGATGATATTGGAGATGATGATGAAGATATTGATGATGTAAGTAGTAAATGTCTATTTTTACCATATGCTTGAAGCCCTCATCTTTGGCAATAAGCTGTTGTTGTTAGTTCTACAGCAAAGAATACACGGCTGCTCAGGATAGCTTTGCTCCTCAGAGACTGCCTCAGGAAGTGGTGTGGTGCATGCATGTGCCACCTTTCTGTCCTCTCTCCTGTCATTCCCGAGCTGGCCTCTAAACACATGGTACACTTGGTGTCATGCTGCTGAAACACACATGCAGCAGTCTGAAGGTGCCTGATAGAAAATCAGTCATTTGACCACCCCCAATTCCTCTGTAGGTTTAACAGCCTCACTGTCCCACCAGAACTGCAGAAATCATTGAGGGATTTGCTTTTTAAAAAACAAAGGTTTCAAGTCTCCATTTTTGTTTACATAAAAACTACAAAAAGCTGCATCTTAGTATTTTTTCTAAAATTAACATAATCTTGACTGTCACAGTCACTTGTGTTACTGCTTACCACTAAACTGTAATAACTGGTCATGCACACTGAAATTATAATAGTAAAATTGTTACAACTCAAATTTTATAATAAATTGCAGAAGTAGAATCTGCTGTGCAATGTTTTCTAAGTTTGATGCACTTTAATTTACAGCTGAGAGATGAATGTATGCAGGGTCAGCTGGCTGAGAGGATAAGTAGTAACTTACCAAGCCAGTGAGTTAACTTAATTGGATAGACTGTTCTAAGAATACTATTATGCTTTAATTCTTCATCTTTTTAGTCCTCTCTCTCTGAGTTGATAATATGACTAATTCTTTTAAAATGTTTACATTATTCTGACTTTTTTGAGGTTCTCAATATATGATTCATTAGATCAAGTATTTTAAAAATATCCAAATGCTGAGGAATTTTTCTTCAGACTTCTGAAAATTTCACTTTGGGCCTGTCAGTGATTGAGCTTGCTGAAGATTTAGCTCATTGAAGCCAGAAAAACTAGTGCTACATGCTTTTAATAATGAGGCTATTGTAAGACATCAAAGAGATAAGTAGCTGTAGGACAAATTTGCAAACTAATGGATCAGTGTGTGGGGTTAAGTGAGCAGCTGTGATTGTTTTTAAGCTTTTGTCAGCTCTTCAACAAAATATTAGTATCATGCTTTAAGAAAGTAAAAGATGTAAAGAAAAGATGTGAGTAACCTCTGAGGATCCCTGTCATGTATCTGGAATGAAATTCAGCCTCGGAGGTCCTTGATAGGAGGAACTCTGTGGAGCCTTTCCTATGTTTTTTATGTCAGAAGAATGGTTAGAAAGTCACTACTTAGGGAAGTGAGTCTCAAATTTGGTTTTATTTTCATTTCTGAGAATCATTGGCTAATTTATGGTTGTTGTAGTGATGTATAATTGTATTGTAGATACTGTAGTTATACAGAATTGCTCACCTGCATGACCCTAGTATTGTCACAGGGCTGGTGGGGACAAAAGCAGGGAGTAATTGTTCATGTGTTAACAATGATCTGTGTATGATCTGTGGCAAAAAAGAGTTGCTTGATGAAAAATACACTTGGATGAAATACATGATGTGGTGTTTTTGCTTTTCAGATCTAATTTGGAACAGAGGTTTACATTCCAACTTTTTTCCTCCAAGGATTGTTCTACATTGATACTTCGATTATTTTTTGGGTGAAGTCCCTTACTTTTAAGAAGACTGAAAATTCTCGGTAAAGAGTGTAGTTTGTTACATCAAAAGGATTTATTTTCAATGTTTGTTTTAAAGTATTTATATTTCTTTAGAAATGGATAACGCTGGATTATCACAAAGGTTCAATGACATGCCACAAATATTTTGTCTCTTCACCAATTAGAGCTTTTATCTCTGGATGTAAGTGAGGTACAGTGACATGGGCTGTAAAAGACTGCATTTTTCCCTCTTCTGCTTTCATCACTACAATTCCAGTTAAACTTGTATTTTGAAATAAAAATTGTTTACCCTGTAATTATCATGGATTTTGATTAAAGGCAAATAACCCAGTTCAGATTAGTATCAAATCATACTATGCAGTGTCTGTCCTTATACCCCTTGCCTTGATGTTAACTTTAAAAAAGATTTTGATAGTATAAGAGGAAGGCAGAAATCTGCATTTAAACTCACAATGCATGATGAATCTGCTTTTCACATCTAGTAGCATGCTGCTATTTTTATACTGATTTTGATAATTAAAAACACTCATTATTTCAAAGATGTACATTTTCCATGGTGGAGGGCGTGGTGGGAGAGGAGTAAAGCTGAAAAGTGAGCAGCATCTCAAATTTGCAATTTTTTGGAAACTGCGGCTGGTGCAGTGGCCGAGCTGCAGCTGCAGACGATGAACACTGGGTGGCACCCGACTGAACAGGGAGACACAAATGCAAAGCCTTCACAGTTGGGTTTGTACTGAAAAATGCATAAAATAGATTTTCCCCAAAGTAAATGCTTAACATTCTTGATATGTTAAACATGTAGAATATTTTTTACATTATATAAAAGGTTATGTTAAGAGTAGAGTTTTATTTTAATCTGAAATTCCATACATTGTAAGGTGCAACATAAAAGCTTATGTGAACTTTGAGTAACAATATAAATAAGAAAATAAGTTTGTGTCAAAAGTAGAAAGAATCTTTTCATCCAGAATAAATCAATGAAACAGACTACTGGAAAGATTCTTGTCCACCTTCAGACTGGAGGAGTCAGTTGAGAAACTGAATAAAGACTAACATCATCATGCAAATATTATTTTGTGGTAGCCTTAGTGTCTTTGTCTTTAATGTATTTAACAACTCTGAAAGCAGGTTAATGGAAAAATTCCTTTTGTGCCATAAAGATCTGATTAACACTTGTATTCCTTATACAGTCTTTTTGGTATGATGTAAAGTGACTACCCCAGTAGATAAAAACACAATGGCTTTAAATACGGAGTGGCCTCTTTGCTTTACGTGTTTTTTAAAGGAGATTTAGACATCCAGAGCTTTTTTTAAAATGTCTTCTCTTTTTCTTTCATTATAGCGTCTATTTTCCTTACCTATGGATCAGCTATCCTGCTCTAGAAATAACATTTTCTTAGTATTAAGTAATTTCGCCAAATATTTAATGGATTTTAACTATTTGTTGTAAAAACCTGGTAAATATTGAGGGAAAGATTCTACCAGTACAGCATTCTTACTCAACTGATCTTAAATGTATCAATTTTCTGTCTTTGTATGTCTGTAAGGTTCAATTGTGAAGGAACATAAATGGTGTAATGTTTCAGAATAAGGCTTATAAACCACTTCTAAGCTCATTGGTTTCCTCATTGTATTCAACAGGCTATAAGCAGCTCTGAAAATGGTTAAAAACTCTCAGAGTTCCTGAGATCCAAGTGCAGAAGGTGTCTGTCCTTTCAGTTGTATTAGCAGGAAGGTCAGTGATTAAATTGTGGGGAATGTGTACTGAAGATTCAGATATTATGGGAACTACTTGCCAAAACTAATCTTCTGTATGTGAAATGTAAATGCATGGTCAGTGGTAAGGGGAAACGTGTACACACTGCTGCTGTAGGGAGCCTACAGTTCTCAGTATAGCACAGACATCAGCTGTGGGTCAAAGATGAAACTGTTTCTGTCAGAATCTGTTGTGGTTTGCCTTAGGTTCCCTCCAGTCTTCATTGCTGCCAGGTTCATGTCTGGCTCAACCTAAACTGCAGATTTTAAGGAAATTTCTTACTTAAATATTAATTTCTTACTAGTTCACTAGCTTAACACTCTTAGGTTTCTACTCATAAGCTGGGCTGTATTACCTTTTTGAGTACTCTTGGCCACCTTGTTTCTCCATCCTCTGCTAAAGCTCCTTTCACAGTCCAGTCGAGACAGCTTGATATCATCCCTCTTGCCTGTCTCCTTTGGGGCTGGAAAAACAGCTTGCACAAGAAGCTGTCTTTCCCATGTTTAGAGAACAGTGGTAGAACAGCAGCTGCCAGCTAGAGCATTGCAAGGTTGCTGACTCTAAAGCTATGAAAGGTGCTCCATCTGTAAAAGTATTTCTTAGATAAATTTTTAATTATTCTTGTGTAACTGTGAAAATTGCTGCTGGCTTTTTCCTTAGAGTGCAAAATTGAAAGCAGGGATACAAAAATTAATCTCCCACAGCTAAAATACAAACTTTGTGTTCTGTGTTTCCCACTTCAAGGTTTTCTCTGTAATTAGCATTTTGATAAACTATTTGTGTCCATTGTTCGAAATCTTGTCTCTTCACCTTGCAATAGGGGCAACTGTGCATTTGCTTGGACAGCCCTAATGTTTTTCCACCCTAGTCCTTAGATACAGTCCAGACACAGCAACTGAAAAAACCTCTCGTTCCCTTCTCAAGAGGAGGAGCTGGTAACCCATGACTGCTTAGCTCTGTGCCATTTATTTGTTACTGCTGATAGGTTCTGTCATGGCTGTGCTCTGCATGTGCCAGCATGCACATCTGAGGAAACTGTGTGCTAGTGCCATGCAGATATGTGATACATGCCATAAATCTCATATAGATGGTTCCATAATATACACACACACTTAAATCAGTGTACAGATGGAACCTGCAGAGGTTAGGCTGGCACAGGGGTTGCTCTGTCCTCTGGGTATGTCCATGAATGTCAGTGAGCTGATGACCAAGGCTGGCAGGTTGCACTGTGTGGTATTTGGCCACACTCCCACCAGGTTCTTTATGATAAACTGGTAGGACTGGTGGCATCTCTGTGCGTGAAATAATGCTGGGACTGCTGCTCCCTGAGACCCTCTGGCCATAAAGTAAGTCCTGCTCTCAGGTGAATTGGAATGTCAGCTGTTTCTGCAGTTGAGCAAGTTCCAGTCTAATCCATAATTATTTGCTGGATATGAATATCAGAGGACTTGGAGTTATCCTATGGTTTCCTGGAGGACTCAAACCTAGCTTTTCATCTGTGGACACTGCTATCCTATAGGCAGGTTGACTGCTTCATAGAAGACTTAAAATTAGGTGTAGCTTTTTGAAAGTTGTATGGGAAGAGGGAAGTATTATCTGAAATAATTCTGTTGTAGTGTGAGTGCAGCTTATTTGTTCCTTTAAACTTGAGTCCCATGGCTGGCTTTTCTGCAGGTACCTGTTGGCAGTGCTTTCTCATTTTGTTGCAAAAATGGGTCTTCAGAACTTACTTCTCAGGCTGTGATTGCCCTTCCTTTTGGAGAAGGAGAGAGAAGTAAAGGAGGAGGCCTTGGCTTCATTATGTTTTTAATCACAGCAAGCAAGAGTCAGAGTTCCCATTGATTAATTCAGGTTATAGCTTGTGCTATCTTGCCTGTCAGATTGAATGCCAGAGATCAACACAGTGATTATAAAATGCAGTCACAACCAAATAAAGAGGTAAAGTGAAAACTGAGTACCTTCATTTTAGTAATTGCAGCTAGTTTAGTGGTACAAAAAATACTTTCAGAAATGCACAGATGAGACTTCTCTGATGTATGAGCTGTTCTTCATGTTTTTTCTGTGTTTGTAGAGAGGACACTTGCACAGCAGTTTTATTTATATCCAGGCAGCCAGCTCAGGGAAGGAAAGCTTCAGCAGAAGCTGACAGAGACTCGGGGCCTCTTACTGCATCACTTGCTTAGCAGTAAATTCTCTTTTGAAGCCCTTTCACTGTGTTTTGTAGGCACTCATTTTTCCCTCTTGCAAAAGTGGGTGGCTTGTCATTGTGTGTCTAGGCTGTGATGGTGTAGGAGTCTGCTCTGTCACCAGCACCTGTATTCCTAATCAGCCCTACTCTTCGTTATGGTTAAATTAATGAATTTTATTCCCAGTTGAGGATAATGATCAGCTTGGCCTCTGGAGGGAGCAGACAAACAAAAAAACCAAACAGGAGCAAGCAGCATCTCAGCAGGAAGTTTCTAGTCCTGGCTTTCAGAGACTCTGAGGTGCTCATGCCTGCAATAAGTATTGCCAGCAGTGGAAATATTAGAGATTTTTTTAGGGCTTTGGAAGTAGGTCACCTTCTTCCTAAAGAAGCAGCTGATTGAAACATGTTAGTATGGGCTTAGGTGCACCTCTGGCACCTAACACACACGATGGATACTGCTGTTGCCAGCTGGAGTAAATACAGCAAAGAGCAGCAGAAATACTGAAGGATCCCCATGGGACACCCAGAATTGTGTAGCTTATATATGTTCCACTATCAGTGGTGCTGGCTGTCAGGAAGATACAGCCTTGTGACAGTCCTCAAGACAGTGACAGGACACGGTGGGGACTGTGTTTAGCCTCCGTGCTTGGAGAGGAAAGCCAAGTGCTGCGCAGGGCTTGAGGAAACAGCTTCTGACTTAAAAGACTTTGAAACTAACTGTAGGAGACAGTGGTGAAGGGTGGAGAAAGGAGCATTAACGAGGTTTCTGAGAAGAATTTTAGTCGGCTGCCTGACCCAGTAACAAGATCTGCCCTGGTCATGAAGATGTATAGAGAAGCTACAGTGATTAAAGCAGTAATCTTGAAGACTAGAATCAAGGAGCCCAAGACCCTGGAAAGGTTTGGAAGACCTTGCTGCCTTTTTACCCACTGGACAGTGACTGTCCCAACTTGCCTTGGCAGATTGTTCTGGAATAAATTGGGATGTTAATAATGAGCTGTTGCAGCAGGTGGCTGACCAGAGGGAGTCTTGCAGCAGCTCTGACAAAGGGACTTTTTTGTCTTGGACAAGTGACAATATGCAGCTAGATCATAAGCTTTGCTGAAAATGGCAGAAGGAGCCAGAATGGAATATACAGAGATGGATCTTCAGACTTGATTCTGGCAGCTCTGTTAATTGAAAGCAGCTTAAAAGATGTCCTAAGACCCACTGGTGTGTTGTCCAGCCTTACTGTATTCCTCTTGAGTGACTGGGTCAGAAGGAATTGGCACCTGTATCTCCCTGTGGTTGTCAGCTGCATCCCCTTAATAACAGCTTACACAACTTCCAGCCTAGTCATGTGTCTGGATTGCTGCTGTTAACCAGAGTATGGGCAAGTGAGCAGAAACCTCTTCCCGAAACAGGGCACCAGTTTCACAGAGGTGTTGGAAATGTGTAACAGCCTAGGGACTGTTTCATTAAAAGTGTGAGTGTGCCGCTTCTAAGTGGAACAAATACTGTTACTGGTGTATTGTTACCCTGGCACCGACTAGTGAAACAGTTGCTGAAAAGTGGAAAATGCCAGTATTAGCTTGTCCTTTTTTTTATTAAATTATGCTTTAATCCTCAACAACTCCCATGTCTGCCTCTCCTCACCCCAGTTTGGATTGATGCTATCATATTGCCAAGTGTATGCTTCATCCACAAATGTAGAAGGAGTGATCTCAGGCTTCATGAAAGGTTTTTAACTAAACTGATGTAAAGCTACTGCTTAGGACTACAAAAGTCTCGGTTAACTGTAATATTTAGTGTAGAATAATACAGAAAATAATGTATGGTTACAAAGAAAAACAACGTAATAGAGCCAGTAGCTGACTGTGTGTGTTTAGGGGCAGTTTAGGTTAAGCTATCAATAGGTACATAAGCAGATGTTGGTGAACCAAAAAACACTGAAGATCTGTGTCTGGTATAGCACATGGGGAGGCATTTAGAGGGAACAGCTTGAGTGCCAAGTAGCCAATAACTTTATATTGAGAAGACTGCATGAGTGTTTCTGATTATTTGTGTAGATTGACATCTAAATCAATTTTAAAAATAACAGGGGGAAGGAAGGAGAGTATGACACCTAATAGTTTCCTTCTTTATTACCCAAGCCTTCCTTATTAATGGTTTTCAAAATATTATGTACTCTTGAATAGGTTTTGGGGATTTATTTTGATGTGTGCACGCCTAAAGAAGGTAAGGTGTAAACCACTGAGCATTCTCCAAACAAGCATTCTGAGAAATTTAAACTTTCAAGGTAATCTGGGAGTTTCCACTGATCCTCTGAACAAACTGGAGAGCACAATATGTGAGGGTATCTGTCAGTCAAATTCAGATTAGGAGCTCCTGCCTGTTTACATATTTTTAGTATTTTTCACTCTAACAATAATGAATGTTTGCACAGCTGAAGTACTATATCTATGATCTCTTCAGCAGATATTATTATATCTTACTATTTACTGTTCAGTAACAAGAAATCAGAAGCTGCAGAAACCTTTTTCTCGCTTGAGCTGAATTAGCAGTAGCCTGTGAATCTTTGCAACAAATTCCCCTACTGTAATTCTTCTGTGAGAGTAGTCCTTTAATGATACTGAAGTTAGTTTATTGGTATAGAGTTGGTACTGACTCTGGGAAGTCAG